TTCTATTCTGAGAAGTCATTTTCAATTGCGACTCATTACATACAAAACATTTATCCAACGCTTTATTTTCTTTGTAGAATAAAATACAATTATTTTTACACACATGAATTTTTTCATATCCCAATCCAAGACCACTCAGCACCTTCTTTGTACTTTTATGATCTGTAGGCAGACAATTGTCCTTTGGAAGCATCCTCTTGAAAACCCCCAAAAACTAATCAGAATACTGGTTCGACATACGAAAATTTATTTTACCAAGCATCAACTTAACAATGGTCGTGAGCACTGAAAATCCTTCGTAACCGGGGTATAATTCTTTCTTGGCATTTTCTAACAGTTTTTCATATTTTTCAAATGCTTCACTATCCATGGTGGGAGGGACGTCATCTTCTACTTCCTCATTCGTATTCGAACTAGCGTTTAGAAAAGTATCATTGATAATGTCCATAATTTGTTCATTTGGGTCCATAACAGATTAAACTATCTCCACTGCTCTGGTAATGTATTAGTATGAAGCATGTTGTATTTGTTCTCAATGATGATTCCACGTAGTGTACGTCTCCATCATCCCCTTTCTGACTAAATGGTATCGAACAATTTCAAAATATTCAATCATTGAGTTGTTCCACTTTCTACGAAGACATCGAATTTGGGTTGAACCCTGGTTGCTTGCAATTACAAAATCAATGAACTGATTTATTCCATTCAAATAATCATCAGCATATCTGTTAGGATTATGGATCAACTGTTTGTTCATTTCACCTGCAAAAAAAAAAAAAATTACATTATGACATGCTACCTTATGCCTCCGGTATGGGTCCTATCTCATTCGAGAATGCACAGTTACGTGCTGTAATTTATGGTTCCAACACATTAGAGTTCGATCGTGGGAAAATTTTGGCAGCATCTCCCTGTAGTTCTTCAAGTGCACGACGCAGATACAAAAAACTACGATCCACCCGAAGAACGCAAATAGATGCTTCCACATTTCCCATGTTCAAACTCTATTGCATGAACTGCAAAATACAACATGTAATTGTGCATTTTCAAGCTGTCTAAAATTTTGGGACAATTGAACAAGAAATTGGACCGCAGTCATGCTTTCACATCCATTAATGAAATCCAACTAATTCTCAAATGAGAAACTAAGCTCATATGAACATTGCAAACCATTTTTTGTACATCTATACAAAAATGTTTGCATACAAATACATAAACTCACAACACTTATAAACTACCTATACACAATTTAAATGAATGGAAATTAAAAAAGTTAGTTAAGAAAAAATATACCTCTGAGACTAACAACAATCCCGACAGCTGGAAATTCCAGCAGGAGAAGGCAGCTGCTACAATTGTTTTGCAGCTTCTACCTTCCTGCATTCTAGTTAAGTTCAGTAAAGTGAAAGACTTTGCATGACAAAAGCACTATCGTGCAAAACATGGTGCCTTGAATTTTTGGTGCCATCCAATTACGTTTTGCCACATTGCTATAACACATTGCGCGCTCATTACCTTTTTAAAAAAAAATTCTTTTTTTTTTGAAAAAAAAAATTAAATTTGTTCATTCACATTCCAAATGTTTTCATTCACTCTTCAATTTTTTTCAAACCACATAAATACTTAATAAATCAAGAACTTATTTCATTATACCATTTGTGCATAATTAATTAATATACATATTTATTAAAATGCATTAATTTTATTCATAATAAACATTAAGTACATATTTAATTAAACCGTTCATACTAAAAAAAACTTAAAATTCAGATCTAATTATTAAATAAGAAATAAAATTAAAATAAAAAACACTATTCTATTCCTCCGCTGATAGTTCTGGTTCTCATTGAAGTTCTACTACTAATTGATTACCAAATGTCCACTCTTGGAAACGAGACTTGAACATGTTGTCGATAGCCTCTATCAGATTTGGGTTACTTTTGTCAATGTCCCAATTGGGTTGTCATGCAAAAATTAAAATCTCACTTTTATATTACATTTAACAAACATTATTATTATTTAACTAATAAAATTAACACATATAGCTAACTCATCAATCATGTGCATCTTCAGCTCATCGGGGATAGCTCTCCACGACTCCCAATCCGCATCACATTTCGTACGCACCAATGCTCCAATGTTGGACCAAAAGCTAGCTCGCTTTTTTGACTACACAACCCCTATTATTTCGCCAGCAATGATTCGGTAACGGTTGCAACCATAAGTGTGTCGAACCTGTACCGTGTTGTTTTCTTCTTGTTTGTCAACAAAATATATTTTCATAATATTGAAGCTAAATAAAAACTTTATACAAAATGGAAAATTTACAACGCAAACCTTTTCCGGAACCTTTGCCATCTGTTGTCTTTGATGAACTCACACCACTGTCGGCCATCATACCAATAATCAAAGAACCAATTGGTTATAATATGCAGAATTGTTAACCATTTACGAAACGAATTGTGAGGAATAAGGAGAACATAAGTGCATATTTATAGGAAGGTTCAGGACTTTACATGACGAACCCTTTGTTGCGCAAACTTCTGCACTAAATATGGTGATTCCTCTGATTCAGATGCACTAAATACTCTGACCTAAAATTGAACACCCTTTGCGCGATGAAACCTTTGTCGCGCAAGGTTTTGCACAACAGTAACAGATTTTTGTCGCACAAAACGTTTAGATTCGACATGTTCATTGCGCAAACGTTTTAGCAAGGAACATGATTGATTGCAATTATGAAGTTTATGTAAACATAGATATCTATGTTTACATAAACTATATGATTACAAACAAATATTCAGTTATAATATTTATTCTAAAAATAATTAAAACCTTAAATAATTTGAATTAATCTATTCAATTATTCAAAAAAACCAAACAAGAATTAAAGCCTAATTAAGTCCAAATACATAACCTATAAAAACCTTAAATTTAAATATTGTCCTAAAATACATAAATTTAAACTACTGTTTCGATGGTCCTCCCTTCCCCTCCATGCCATAACACCACCACTTGTAACCTCCCTTCAATGCCTCCTCCATCAACTTCATCAACTCTTCGCTCATATCATCAAGAGTATAGTTACACTGTTACACATATATGTAAATAATTAATTCCAACATATAACAAAAAATTCACAAAATTAATTATTGATCCAACAACAGTATACTTACTAATAATTGATCCATCACCACCTTCTTCACATTCTCGAGCACATATTTCCAAGAACACCACTTAGCAACAGGACAATTATTCCGCATGGCTACACCAATCGCATGCGCGAACCCCACATGTTGCCTCATATCATACGGGTTGGAGGACATGCTTTGATCCTGGTTTTTATCCTCCATCCCAGCACGAACATAATTATGAAGAATAAGGAGAGCATAATTGCATATTTATAGGAAGGTTAGGGCCTTTGCGCTACAAAGGCTTTGTCATGCAAACATCTGCACTAAATACAATGTAGATTCCTTTGATTCACATGCACTAAATGCTTTGACTCAAAACTGACTGTAACTTGTGCGACAAAGCCTTTGTCGCACAAGTGTTCCTCTGATTCCCATGTGTTGAATGCTCTGACCCAAAAAAATTGAACGAGCTTTGCGCGACAAAGTCTTCGTCGCCTAAAGGTTTTGCAGGAAAATCTTTGTCGCGTATTTATTTTCGCGCCATAAAAAAATTACTCGCAGTTTTCTTACTGACTTTGCGCGACGAACATCTTTTTTTCGTTGTGCAAAGTTTTTTGCGCGGCAAAGTTCTGCATCGTGCAAAGTGCACCACCCTTGATCGACGAAAATATTTTTTTTTATTGCACAAAATGTCCTTGCGTGACGGATTTTTCTTTGTCGCGCAAATAGTTTTTCCTACTAGTGATATACAATCATATACAATCCTAACATAATAAGGAAAGAATCAATACAATTGATTACAAAAAATACATCCCAAACTAGGAAACCCAAGATAATAGGAATCGCTCAATCATAGGAATCCCAATACAAGTCAACAATAATCAATAGAAATCCTAATCCTAATAAAGCTAAATCGTTTATGTATAAACGAAAAACAATATAGCCTTGAAGATATTGTCGTTATTCTTGGCAAAAAAAAAAAAAAAAAAAAAAACTGATAGAAGACTGAGACAAAGAAAGAAATTGGATGGTGGATCGAATCTCCATAAACTTTAATTATGAGAAAACTTTTCTATTTTGATATACGAATTTTTAGCTTTACCGAAAGGACGTATAATTTCAAAACTAAGAGTAATTTAAAATTTGATGCACAAGCAAATTAGATGAGATTATTTCGAGCATCATGAAGTCTGATCGGGTGAGCACAAGAAAGCTCTGTACCATGCTGGTGACTCTAGTTCAAAAGATAAAAAAAAATAAAGTTTTGAAAAAGATCGTGCCAATAATGTGTTGGAATTAAAGTATAGAGAAAAGAGAGACAATATAGAGATTAGGAGGATAAATCTAAGTATAATTTATATAGAAATGTGGTTAACTATTGAGATATTACATATTGACCTAGAAGATGAATAGCTGCATAATAAATATTATTTATGATGTTATAAAGTATATAAAAACATGTACCCCTTAAAATTATATAAAATAGGCATAAAATGTGAAAAAAACATGCTTATTGTTGTGGTTAACTTATTTAATTGTTTTATTATAATACTCAAACCTAAGTTCATTCATATGAAGAAGTCTAGATGGAAAGGTAACATCCTCCCACAATTGTGGGGAAGAGACATGAGTGGAGGGTTGTCCAGGGCCAAAGTTAATTATCTAACTGTATTAAACTAAAATTTCCCATTTTTTGTTTTGGTAACAATCAAAATTTGGGGTTTAATCATATTTGTTGTGCCATCAAATTTAATTTGGGATTGCATTGTATATTTACTCAAAGACTATAGTAACAACTCCATGCAATGTGTGCGTGAATATATTTATCAATATTTATTTGTTGATTTCCTAATCAATGTGGTGGGCATGCAGAACGAAGGACTGAATGGGGGTGGAACACTCTTCGTGAACAAGCATCCAGACCTTAGAGTTCGAGTGGTCCATGGCAACACATTAACTGCTGCTGTTATTCTCAACGAGATTCCAAAGGATGTCAAGGAAGTTCTCCATGTTTATTTATGAAGACGACGATGATTGCGTGGTAATGTTAGGTTTTGTAGTTCTTGTGTAAAGAACAATTTCTTCTCAAGAGCAAGCTAGCCAGCTTACTGAAACTGAAGTTGCATATATAAATTGATTGAATCTACATGTATATATATATATATATATATATATATATATATATATATATATCAATGTATTAAAAGCGTGAGGCATGGGCGAGGTGTCCGAGGGATAGCCCAGCCTAGACGTGAGGCAAAGCCTCACGGGACCTAAATTTTTTAATATATACAGTGAGCATACACGTATATATTATTGAAAGTTCTAGGATGGTACTAGTTTAACCTAAACGGGGGTGAATAGGTTCCAATTTAAAAATCCAATTCAAATTTCAATTTAATTTTATGTTCTCAAATTAAATCCACATTCACATCACATATCAAACTATCATACTCATATGCAATTAAAACGATAAATAAAACGTGCACACATGATGTAGGATTTAACGAGGCAAAACCCACCACTGGGAAAATCCTCGAGCTCCCAAGCCAGGACAAACACTAAGAGAAATGAGTACAGAAAGACTTACAAAACTCATCAACTAGACACGCATACTAGTAGGCTGTTCTGTCTCCGCGCTTTGCTACTCGATCTCTCTTCAGCCTTCTAGTTGAAGTGGCACGATACTAACGTGGCCGTCAATCACTGTCGCCTCGAACTTTGCAGGATACTAACGCGATCGTGCAGAATGTATGTAATGAAATGATTTTTGGAAATCAACCAATTATGAAAATCACAAGGCACATTTTCATAATTGATTTCTAATTAAAGCGCATGAAAAATCAGTGAACAAAAACTAATATTTTCTTTGAAAAACACTTGGCAATAAAACTGATTTTTCTTAAACGAAGATCTCTCGGTGCACTTAGGGCCGCTAACAAACGTTTGCTTTTAAATGATATATCATGTGGTAAAAGCAAAACTAAAAACCTACTCTGATTCATCAAGATGAAAATATAAACTGACTTAACCCTAGACATGCGGCACATGAATTTTTCTCTCTGTTTAATGCATTGCTGCTCGTGTTTATACCATCGGGAAAACCTAAATGCATATGCAGCCAATTTTAAAGGGCTAAATACAATCCTATATATAATATCCAATCAATGCAATTAAACCAAACGTGAATCAGATAATGCATTCAAAATAGATATGCCTGTGATAGTATTAAAACAAAACAAAAACTCTTGTAATTATCAACTTGATAAACATGCAAAATAGATATGCATGTGATTGGATTATAACAAAACAAAAAAACTCTTGTAATTATCAACTTGATAAACATGCAAAATTATCAAGTTAATTAGATGTTAACTAACATCCTATGCAAACACGGCAACAAAAGTGAACTGATTCATTAAGTACAGACCTAAAGTTTAGTCCATAACATATAACCAAATCAGTCGATTCGTTAAGTTCAAGAACATGCAGCCAAAACTAAATGTATTTGTATTTGAACCAAGATAAACCTAACTACATGAAATCCTTATGCATGACAAACTTACTTGAGTGGATGTCTTTGAAACGCTTGCCATTTTGTGATCGAGAGCACGTGAGACAAACTTAGACTAAAATAATTACAACTGAAAACAAGCACTAGTCTAAGATTACAGACTCATACGTTTTGTTTAGGAATAGCCAATTTTACCCTAACAATTATATTAAAAAAAAGATTATTAATCAATAATTACCCTGAACACACACACACACACATATATATATATATATATAATAGAGGATGAAAAGCACAATGAGCACACATATAACAATGCACACAGACAACACACACATCCATTATATATAAAAAAAAAATCAGAAAAAGGCAGAGAGAAGATAGTGCAAGGAAAAGGTATGAGGCAGTTAAAACTCTACCCAAAATTTGGGTTTGGGAGCAAAAAAAAAATTAACAAATTAAAAAAAAAAAAATCCCCTAAGGCGCGCCTAGGTGGCTCCAGTGGCGCCTTCCGCCCACTCCAACAAAACAGAGGCGTTAGTCTTCGCACCCAGCCTCAAAGGCACCCTAGGCGCACCCCGAGGCTAGTTTTTTAAAACATTGATATATATATACATACAGTTTTCATGATGAGTTAATTCATTAAATTGATAAATATACATTTACGCATGGTGCAGATGCTGACTCTATCAATGGAGAGATTTCAAAAGATTCAGAAGGAAGCGCCGGCAGATTGCCAACAATACCTTGTCCAAGTAACAAAGTACCAAGCCGCCCAAAATTTCAAGGTAATTCAGCGAATAGTTTACAAATTGTCCGTAATTAAACTTATGGCACAACTTTAGACCAATCGTACCTACAGATTACGTTTCTACAATTTTTTGGTCTATACCCTAAACTCTAAACTTTTTGGTCTATTAAGTGAGATACTGTTATGCACTTGGAATGTTTTGCTATCAAGAAACAAGCAAGCAAAGTGCCTTTCTTTGTGAATCTAAACTTAATATGAATTATGGCAGACATGGATTATGGGAAATGGATCACACCAAAAGAACAACTTTGGGCCCCAAGTGGAACTCATTTCCATGAGTTCGTGGTTCCACCCATCTTGAAGTTCAGAAGAGACTGCACTTATGGTGATCTTGCAGCCATGAGGTTACCTGCTGACGTTGAAGGCCTTGGCAACTGCGAGGTAACAAAATTCACCTCTTTTAATTCTTACATAAGTACTTAAATTATCTCTTGTAAACATGGCACTATTAATAAAAGTATAGGGATTAGTTATATCATGGAAATTATTGATTTAATGGTTTGTGATAAGCGAAATGCAAGCGTGCAGTACACGATGGACAGAGGAGTAGTCTATGCATGCCATGCGGGAGGCGTTGTTCATTACCTGGAAGGTTGGACTCACCACGAAGTAGGGGCTCTTGATGTCGACAGAATTGACCTTGTATGGAATGTTGCTCTGAATCATGGATTAAAGCCAGTTTCATCGAAGCCAGGTTAATTCACTATTACATATACCGGAGTGAATTATTAAAGCTTTTGGTTGTGTGTTATAAGTACCAGTGGATATTTAATTAAGTTCTCGTCCTTTTTTTTTTAATTTTTTATGGAAAAATAAATTACTCGAAGAAAGAAACCTTGAGTACAACCGTTTCTAGTACAATCAAAGAGATGTTGGATAATGTTGCCACATCAGTTAAGCCAAGTCAGCAAAGTTAGTTAGCCATGTCAGCAAGAGTTAGTTGGAGCTGTTGTTAGTTAGAAATGGTTGGCAATGTTGAGTCTGTTAGCTTGGCTAACTTAGGCGCCAAGCTTTAGTCTTCATATAAAACATTGTAAAAGCTAGAGTGTAATTCATTCAAGTTAATCAAATACAATCTTGAAAGCTCTCTCTCTTAGTTTCTTCTTTTCTCTAAAATTGTTCTTCTGCATTCATTACTTTTTCTGCAACATTTCATTGTTTTTATTATGGTATCACTTACCGGACGATTCCCGGTGCCTGTTTTTTCCGCTGTGCTCTCTAGAAGTTCGATTGGTGATCTGCTGTTCATTGGGTTGCAATCGCCTCTTTCATCAGGTTATACAGTTTCTGGGTTTTACTGGTGCATAGTTTATGTTTGCTTTAATGTGTTAGTGAAAAGTTTGTGTAATTCGACATAACTCAAGGCCGATGCCAAGTTATATGTGTTGAGAATTGAGGAAAAGAAGACCAATGCCGTTCCTCTGAGAAGTTTGATAAATATGTTGTTGAACATCTGCAATCTTCAAAGGCCAAAGCCGAAGTCCAGTTCTTGAATTTAGATAGGTTTGTTTGTTTGATATCAAGTGCAAAGTTTCTTACGTGATTACTTGTTTTCATTTCATTAGAAGTCTATTTCTTCATGTATCACCATGGCTGAGTCTATGAAAATCGAAGGATTGTTGGAAATGCTCACTGTGAAACTTCAAGATGACAACTTTAATAAGTGGAGTATCAATTTCAGTCCGTGCTTAGAGGTTACGATTTGTTTGAGTTCTTTACTGGGGAATCGCCATGTCCACCCAAATTTGTGATTAATACAGAAACTGGAATCACAAAAGAACTCACAGCTGCATACAAGGATTGGGTGAAAAGGGATCTTGCTTTGTTGAGTTTACTCATTGCCACATTGTCCAATGATGCTATGGAGCATATCATTGGTTGCAAAACTTCACAAGAAGCATGGAGTTGTTTGCAAGAACGATTTGCCTTAGTGTCTATGGTTCGTATTAATCAGTTGAAAACTGAATTCCACACTGCACAAAAGGGTACTGAATCTGTTTATAAATTCATGCTTAAACTGAAAGGAATCAAAGATCAGTTGGTGTCTGCGGGGACAAAAGTCTCGGATAATGATTACATGATTGCAGTCTTGTCTGGTTTACCTACTGAATATGAGATGATCAAGACAGTGATTCTTTCAAGAGACACTACTATGCCATTGAAGGCTTTCAGGGCATAAATACTTGGAGCAGAAGCTAGTATTGAATCAAGAATGCATTCTTTGTATAATTCTATGGCAGCTATGTATGTTCAAGGAGATTGATTAGGTTCAAACAGATTCCAATGAGGTTTTCAGAATTTTGAACGTGGAGAAAGTTCAAACACACAGAGGTATCAAGGTGAATATGATGGTAATCAAATTGGATTTCAAGGTGGTTCATGGTATGTCAGTAATGGAAATAGGCCATTTCAGCAAAGAGGCAATTTTTCTGGAAACAACATGAAGTTCAATGGTGGGAAAATAATAATTCAAGATCTTTCTCAGGTAATTTTGCAAATAGGCCAGGGAACGGAAGTTCAAGTGGCAATGGTAATTTCTCTGGAAATAGCACTGGAAATTTTTCTGGCAATGGGAATGGCAATTTTTCTACAAATGGAAAAGGGAATTCTTGTAGCGGTAGCAACTCTACAAAGGGAGATTCTTGGAATGGCAACACAAACTAAAAGAATGCTACTTCACTAAAGTGTCAAATTTTTTCAAGAAGAGGCCGCACAGCACCAAGTTGTTACTACAAGGCTGATAACAATATAGGAAAGTCATCTGGTATTGTGTTTTGCTAAATTTGTGGCAAGAAAGGCCACATTGCTCTTGAATGCTACCACAAAAATAATTTTTCATACCAAGGTACTCCACCAGCACCATCTCTTACTGCATTATCTGCACACACCAATATGGGACAACAAGATACATCTGTTGTTAATGAAATTAGATTCAATGTTGTTGAAACATGAATTATGGATACTGGTGCAACACACCATATGACTGCAAATACACACAATCTGCAACAAGCTACACCCTACACTGGAGATGAGAAGATCATTGTTAGCAATGGTGAAGGTTTGCCAATGAAATATATTGGTTCTTCAGCGATTAAAACTTTTATGCAATTTTGGAGACAGAGAATTGTTAGGGTTTTGAAGACTTTTTACTTGAAGGTGCTTTCAATCCTTTTCTTGAATATATTTTCTATGATTTCAATTATGAATATGCGGAACTAATTTCTTTTGCTAGGGCGAAGCCGTGAGCCTTAGCATGAATATGTGATTTTTATTTAATTGCTTATGATTGATTGCATGCGTACCTTGAATTGTTAATCACCGAGATAAAAACTATCCAATTGTTTTAATGCCTGATCACCATTAGGATTTTTAGAAAAGTAATTTGATGCAATTTTGGTCGGAAGGTTCCCTGAAATTGACACTGGCTTCTTGTGATTAATAATTGTAATTTCTCTTAGGATGAATATCACGTCTTAAGGATTACATGGTTTTTCAAAGGATTTTCATAAAGCATAATGAGTCTTTCATGTTTAGATTTGATCCGAACGTCCGGACGGGTTGCATGTTAGATATACGTTCTATGTTGGAGGTTCCAAGTAGAATATGAATTAGGAAAATCTAACCTTCAAAGTAGCATGTATAGATCATAAGTAATGGGTAAAAATCACATATTCATGCTAAGGCTCAAGGCTTCGCCCTAGCAAAAGAAATTAGTTCCGCATATTCATAATTGAAATCATAGAAAATATATTCAAGAAAAGGATTGAAAGCACCTTTAAGTAAAAAGTCTTCAAAACCCTAACAATTCTCTGTCTCCAAAATTGCATAAAAGAAAACGTAGTCTAAAACTGTAGACGGCCAAGCAATATATTTGCTAAGCCACCACACAAACCCTAGCCAACTAAAATTAATAAAAACCCTAAATAAAAATAGTAAAATTCGTCTAAAATCTGAACAGCCACGTTTTGGCCCATAAGCTGCTCCAAAACTTGCCCAATACAGCTAGATTTAATGTTTGGAATATTCTGAACACTTTTCCAGAAGGCCACGAACCCATCCGAGGTCATCTTGGGCTCCAAAAACGTCATTTAAGCCCAAAAACGTCATTTTCCAGCACTGCGCACTGCTTCTTTATTTCATCGCCAGAAAATAACCGCTTGGTGGAAAAATCCCAAATTTTGATACGATCAAGGTAAGTGACTCACGAACGTCCTCCAACTAGAATTACTCCAAAATTCGTCCATTTGGTCTTGTTTTGCTCCAGAGGAAGTCGAAAGTCCTATATTGAAAATACAATTCAAAGTATCAAAATTCTTCCAATATATTAACCAAAATATACTAAGATTAGGGTAAAATATATAATATAAAATCTACTCATCAACTGCAAATACACACAATCTGCAACAAGCTACACCCTACACTGGAGATGAGAAGATCATTGTTAGCAATGGTGAAGGTTTGCCAATGAAATATATTGGTTCTTCAGCGATTAAAGCTTCATCACATCATTCTTTAGTCCCGCATAATGTTTTACATGTACCTATGATAACTTTCAATCTATTATCTGTTAAAAAACTCTGCAAAGATAATGGTTGATGGTTCATATGTGATGATGTATTTTTTATACAGGACAAGGCCACAAGGATGATTCTATATCAAGGAAAGAGTGATGGTTATGATCTATTTCAAATACCAGTCTCAAATTCCTTTGCTACAAAATTGGACAATTGTGCAACATTCATTGGTAAGAAAGTTGGTGTTTCCATTTGGCATTAGAGATTTGGGCATCCTTCAAAGAGGTTTTGCAGGCTACGTTGAAAGCTTCAAATTTATCAGTTAGTACAGATAGTAATCCTTCTATATGTTCTTCTTGTATTGAGGGTAAAATGAGTAAGCAGTCGTTTCCTATAAAGCAAAGTAAGGCTAGCTATATGTTTGAAAAAGTACACATTGATGTATGGGGTCATTCTCCAAGTCCATCTATTCAAGGATATAGATATTACATAAATTTTGTAGATGAATACTCCAGATTCATGTAAATATTTCCCATGATTAATAAGTCAAAAACCTTTTCGATTTTTGTCAAATTCCAAGCCTTTGTTTCAATAAGTGTTTACAATATGATGGTGGACGAGAGTATATGAGTAAATTGTTTGTTGATTTTCTGGTAACAAAAGGAATAATTCACATGGTTTCATGCCCTTATACTCCACAGTAGAATGGGCTTGCAGAAAGGAAACATAGGCATGTGGTTGAGACTGCATCCACACTGATGCCAGAAGCAAACTTGTCTCCTAAGTTTTGGTATCATGCATGTTCTTATGCTGTAATGTTGATAAATAGAATGTCATCCAAGGTGTTAAGTATGAAATCACCTTATCAATGCTTGTTTGGTCGTGCTCCAGAGGTAAAGCAGTTCGAAATTTTTGGTACTGTAGTCTAACCTTTACTTAGACTATATAATAGTAATAAGTTACAACCAAGATCAACTCATTATGTGTTTATTGGCTTTTCAATGGGTTATAAAGGAGTAGTGTGTTATGATAAAGTAATTCGGAAGATGGTTGTGTTTAGACATGTTATACATGATCAAGGTATATTTCCATTCAAAGAAGCTGCTAAGTCTGAGTTTAGGAATGTTTCAATGTCAGCAAGACATGTTCAGTTGTGATTCAAATGCCAATTCCTACAGTGAATTCATCTAAAATAGTAATGAATCAAAATCATAATCAAGAGTCAAATTCTACAATTATACCAGAAAATGAGTTTCAGGTAACTACTATAGGATCTGATATGTTTGCAGCAAATGAATTTAGCTCTGGTGTTTCAGCTACATATGACTTTAGTTCTACATCAAGTGCAACTCCCCATCACCATCACTTAATATCAACAAATAAATCACCTTTGATGCTTGTCAACCACAGTTCACAACTTGAGGTAGTTCTTCCTATCTCATCAAATTCTAATGAAGATTATAATCATTCTCCCATATGTCAAATTCAAATTCTCAGCATTCAATGATGACAAGGATGAAAAGTGGTGCTATTGAGAAGAAGAATTATGCAGCATTTCTTGCTACATTT